AATCGTTTGCCCTAGTGGCGCGAGGTGATAAAGAGACGTGAGGAGGGTTAGTCATGGAGATAAGAGAGGTATTAGGAGGTGTAGGAAGGATTTGAATGTGACCAACTTGGTCTCGTGTGTTGTTACGGGTATGAGGGCTGATGTCACTTCCCGGCTGCCCACACCGTGGAAGGGTATTTCTTGAGGAACCTGAAAAGGAAATTGTATTAGTGTTGGTCTTAATGACCTGGGAGCGTGACCGCAGAGCCCAAGGGACAACTGCTTGAGGCCGGTCGCGCACGGCCTTTTTGTGGAAGGTTTTTGACGTGTTAGCTCCGTTTTCAAAGGTCCTTACCGCCGGAGACGGAAATCCGTGAGGTAAGGTGAGGTGTGAAACTTTTATGGTCGACGTTTTCTAACCCCACCCCTCCTTGTGGGAAGGCAGCATCGCTGTCATGCTGGTTGTCCGAAAGAAACACCTTACTGCTGTCACAACCCTCTACAGTCAGCAGTACGACTTCGCCCCCAGACATTGAGTTGCTGCTTTTAGTCTTACCGTTCACCAATCGACCTGCCTAGCATGGTAGAATCTACAGGAACATATGTTCCAGCCAATATAGCTCGGTTGGGTCATCACGACAGGCAAGCCCGACCACCGCGTCAAAGTAGAAGCTTCGGTCGAGCTCTGCGCAGCTGTTCGTCCCGTCCTACTTCATGGCAGTGAAACATGTCCGGTAAGAGTAGAGGATATTCGTAGGTTACTAGTATTCGATCATAGGTGTCTTAGAAATATTGCTCGTATATCCTGGGACCATCGAGTAAGTAATGCAGTTGTTAGGAAACGGGTACTAGGTAAGGATGGCAAATCAGTTGATGACGTAGTGAAAGTTCTTCAGTTGAGATGGCTGGGACACGTGTTACGTATGCCCAACGACCGACTGCCTCGACGTGCGATGTTTTATGGTGTAGGAGTAGGATGGAAGAAAGCTAGGGGCTGCCAGACCAAAACATGGCACAAGTCCATGAAGTCACTGACAAGTGCATAGAGTGATTCACTCCGAGGTCTACTGGAACCTCGCTCCAAACTACACATTGGAGCCTTCAACATACGCACACTGTCAAATCGGTCAGCAGGCCTCCTTGGCTAGAACACTGGTAACTCGTGCCATTGATGTATACTGTGTCTCGGAGACACGTCGTTGCCTTTTTGTCGTTTCTGCGATTCTTTCCCTCGAAATGCAAAATGTTGCTTCAGGATTAGGTTGCATCGACACCCGAAACAATGATAGGGAGTGAAGTAGTTGAGTTTGTCGACCGCTTCACTTATCTTGGAAGTCTCATCAGCCCTTGTGGTCTGGTATGTGACGAAATCTCAGCACGGAGACAGAAGGCTCGACTAGCTTTTGCCAACTTGCGTCATTTATGGCGTAGGCGAGATATCCGTCTATCAACCAAAGGACGTGTTTACTGCGCAGCAGTTCGTCCCGTCCTACTTTATGGCAGTGAAACATGTGGGTATTTTAGTGTTCCGGCTCAGCGAACAGATAATGGTGATCGTCTGCTGCAACTGTGCTCAGACAATCTTTTATTTTTAGCAGACACAAATTTTAAGCATAAGGACAGACATCTTCTAACATGGCGACCCCCTAAACCAAACCAACGATGGACTCAAATAGACCATATTGCAATCAGTCGTCGTTGGAGAGGGTCGGTAGAAGATTGTCGCTCATTCTGGAGTACCTGCTTAAACTCCGACCATGCCCTAATACGGGCACGCATCTGCTTGCGCCTCACTGGACGCGAAAAAGCCACATTAAAAAGACCCATTAGAACTGAATTGAGTAACGAGAAAACCAAAAGTAGGTTCCAGGAACAACTGAGGTGACAATTAGGTAGTTCTGAAGACGAGGTTGACCCAGATGTTGCTTGGAAAGCTATACAAACAGCTGTGGAAACAGCAATGAAATCTACTAGTGATTTAAACCACAGAGTTACAAAGAACCAGTGAATTTCTTCAAAGTCTATCACACTGATGGATTCTCGCAAACTCGTCCCATCAGGTTCCGAACATGATGAAGAGCGAAAACAAATCAGATCTAGGTTAAGAAAAAGTCTAAGAAACGACCGTGAGCAGTGGTGGGCAACGAAAGCAAACGAGATGGAAAAGGCGGCGACTATAGTGAACACAAGACAGCTCTACAGACTAATAAAGGAAACTGGAATTAATAAGTCAGGTGTAAGTCAGACTATTTCGGAAAAAGACGACACTCTCATCTGCTCTCAGTCCAGACGTTTAGAACGATGGGCGGAACATTTCAGAGATCAGTTCAGCTGGCCTTCAGCTACTCTACAACTACCCTCCATTCCCAGACAGTGTGAATGGAACATTGAAGTAGGTCCCCGACTCTAGCTGAAATTCAAAAGGCTGTAGCTAATCTGAAACGAGGAAGGGCAGCCGGTCCAGATGGATTGGCTCCGGAGGTCTTTAAGGGTGGTGGTCCAATTTTAGTGATTTGGTTGACTAATATTTTAGCTTAGATCTGGGAGTTAGACGTTATTCCATCTGACTGGTCACAATCACTTATCGTCTCAATATATATATATTTCAACCTATGAAATATAAGAGGGTTAAAATCATCCTGTGACACCATAGAGGGATTAGCTTAACTAATATAGTATCTAAAATACTAGCCTCGATAATTATCAGACGCCTAACTAAGACTCGTGAATTGCAAACACGAGAGAATCAGCCTAGCTTTGAGACCTGTCCGTGGCTGCATCGACCACATATTCACCATTCGTCAGGTTCTAGAACACAGGCATACTTATCGGCGTCCGACAATGGTGGTCTTTTTTGACTTAAAGGCAGCATTTGATTCGGTAGACCGCGAGATTCTGTGGCATTGTCTGTCATTGAAAGGCGTACCTCAGAAGTACATAAACCTTGTGAGGGCTCTTTCCTCGAACACTACCAGTCGAGTGAGAGCTTATGGCGAACTGTCATCTGCTTTTGCAACCTCAAGTGGTGTCCGTCAAGGCTGTCCACTTTCTCCATTTTTGTTTAACTTCATCATAGATCTACTGATGGAAATAACTTTCTCGTCGAATGAGTTCTCGGGTATTGATCTCCATCCAGGAGGTCCACTTATCGACTTAGAATACACAGATGATATAGTCCTGTTTGGTGAAGACGCTGATAAAATGTTGAGTCTTTTGGTAGCACTAAGCAATAATGCCAGAATGTTTGGAATGCGCTTCTCCCCCTCGAAATGCAAGCTGCTGCTTCAGGACTGGCCTGCGTCAACACCTGAACTAAGGATATTGAGTGAAGTAGTCGAACGCGTTGACAACTTCACTTATCTTGGAAGTCTGATCAGCCCTAGTGGGTTGGTGTCTGACGAAATCTTAGCACGGTTTCGAAAAGCTCGTTTGGCTTTTGCCAACTTACGTCACCTATGGCGAAGGCAAGATATCCGTCTATCAATAAAAGGACGAATATACTGCGTGGCAGTTCGTTCTGTTTTAATTTAAGGTAGCGAAACGTGGTCATTAAGAGTAGAAGACACTCGTAGGCTACTAGTATTTGACCACAGATGCCTTAGAAATATTGCTGGCATCTGCTGGGATCACCGGATAAGTAATAGTGAGGAGAAATTTGAACACTTCACTTCTATCTGAAGTTTGTGCTGATGATGTCGTTCAGAAGAACGATGAAAGCTCCACGACCAAACCATCCAGCTCAGAGAACAAAACTCCACCAAAATCACCTACCTGAGCTACAAATCTTCCCCACCATCTCAAGATAAATATATGTGCCCGGTCCTACGTTGTGACTGACTGACTGTATAGTGTCTTTTGCTCGGCAGTTTACAGTCACAGCAAAAAATCAAAGGGGACTAGACATAAAACTTTGACAGAATTTCCTGCCGAAAAAGCGTATATATTACATAGAAAGAGCTATAAAGAGAACAGGTTTTCAATATTGGTTCTAAAAGGGATTACAGCAAGAAACAACTTCCCACGTCAACACGAAATGACAACAGATATCTTTCGTAAAATCAAAAATCTAGAAGGTCGACACTCCCCATTACATTAGCTGTTCAGATCGTCCAGTCAGATCAATCCGCTGTTCCTGCACAATAGGGTAATCTTAAACTACAACCAATCAAATAGATTCACCGCTTCTATCCGGTCAAATGTATGTCTATAGTTGCCGACGCCTCGTTTGAGGGCTTGTAAGGTTCTTCGTAAGTCACCTTACTAGCTTGACCTATCATATTACGTCACGACGCACGAAAGCTTGCCTGTCACTTCATAGGACTAGTTAAGCTATGGCAGGTGTAATAATAAGAATAGCTCCCTGAAGCGTTTTGATGTCTGTGACTATAATCGCTTCCAGATTATTCAAAACTATAAGTAGACATTCAAGTCTTGAAAATGAGCTTTAATTTCCTTATAAAATCAAGGGGGTATACAATTTGTGATATGTAGGAATTGCCTTTTACAGTTAGACATCAATAGTACTTACAAGAAGATCATTGGCTTTACTTAAAAGTACTAGGAATACCAGGTGTTTGGTTCATTTCAAGGTCAAAAGCATGCGACTACATGTGTATTGTCAGTCAGCTACAACGTAGGACTAGGCACATGTATACATCAGTCCAAATTGCCATATCACATTAACACAACAAGATGAACACAGGATTCATAAAAGTAGTTCATTCAGTGCTGGTAATATATAAAATAAAAAGATTGCATATAATGACATAACACAGGAAGAAAGAATTAGTTCGTAGAAAAAAAGATATGAAGTGATTTTAATCTCTTAGTTTAAGGGAAGACGACGAGTGTATACACCAACGTCATTGTGATCGATCCTAAGCCATGTCACATGTGTATTGATAAATTAAAGTTAATGTTTCAACTTATTAACCGATGTATGCAATAATTTCAAATATTTTCTTTTGTTTTTTTTGCAGTTCCCTACACTCGATTTCTTTTTTCAATTCAAATAGAATAAAATGTCTAATCATTCTATTTGGCTACGTATAGTACCTTTTATTGGATCAATGATAATTTCAGCTTATTATTTAACATATATGCGTTATTGTATTCATGAAAAAAAGCGATTAACAACACAATTACCTAATTTAAATGAAGATTATATTCTTGAATTTCATAAAGAAATGACTGAATCTTTTAAAAAAACTAAATGGGAGAATAAAAGAGTCAATAGACCATGGGAAGAATAATTTAAATGAGACAATAATTAGAATGTATAAAATAAATAAATAAATAGATAACTAATTTTCTCTCTTCTGGAGGTACCTGAAAAGGAATTTGGATTAAAGGTGGTCTTAGTGACCTGAGAGCGTGACCGCAGTGCCCAAGGGACAACTGCTTGAGGTCGGTCACACACGACCTTGTTATGGGTAATTTTTGTGTTAGCTCCGTGCAATGCTAACCGGTATTGGAGATGGTTGGAAGAAAGTTAGGGGTGGCCAAACCAAAACGTGGCATCAGTGCCTGAAGTCACTAACTTCTAGTCTGAGCCATGTTGGTAGATGCAGACTACTTGGTTGGGGTCCGCGTGACTTTCGTAACCAATGGTTGGAGACTGTTGGTGACATGGCTCAGAATCGATCACAATGGCGTCGGTGTATACACTCCCTGTCTTCCCTTAAACTAAGAGACTAAAATCACTTCATATCTTTCTTTCTACGAACTAATTCTTTCTTCCTATACTATATCCTTATTGCAACCTTTGACCTAACCACTCCTATGAATCCGGTGTTCATCTTGCTGTGCTAATGAGGTATGGCAACCTGGACCGATGCACATATGTGCCTGGTCCTACGTTGTAGCTGACTGACTGAATTTTCTCTCTATTGTTGATCATGTAACATAAGTATCTATGTATATAAAACAATTATCTTAGTGATAGTAATTTGTAAATAAAAGTACAAATTTTAAAAAAAAAAAACAACAAAAAAGGAATTTTCTCATTTAATTTATTTCATAAATTAATAATTTAATTATGCTATTTTATATAGAAGAAATAAAATTATGTATAATATTATCAGAATAACAAAATAAATTGACTTATTACTGATTTATGCTTAAGTGTAAATACATCTAAAACTTGAATCCTCTAATCGACCATAGAAATTGAATTTACTTGGAATGTGTGAAAACGAAATTAGTAAATAACTCACAGTAACAATGAAATTTCAGTTAGGTTCTCTCGTAAAATCGATTGATGGATGGCAAACTGTTGTAAGACATGAGCCTCATGTTTAAAAGGGGTTTTCATTAAGAAAATAATTATTTTCAAGCAGATTTCTATAATTTATAGAATGAGGATCTCATGGATCCCAGAATCAGCAAAGCATTCTTCAGAAAAAGAAAGAGGTAGTTACAGTGAATACCATCCAGTGCTATGCTTTTATTCATGATAGCAATGAAGGAAATAAATGTCAGTTTTATGAGAGGCTGCAATAGATCGTAGAGAAATGATTGAGAAAAGACCTGACCATCCTGATGGGAGACGTAAATGCCAAAGTGGGGATGGACAACTTCGGGTATGATGACATTGTAAGACGGAATGGATTGAACAATCATTTGAATGAAACTCGTCACTAAACATTGGCTTGCTTGACTCTGTGGACAGAAGAACCCTATGGAATCTACTTCTACCCTAGGGAATACTCAATAAAATCGTCAACATCATACGGAATTCTCACGACCAACTAAACTCCAGAGTCGTACATGAAAGGAAAGTTGACAGATGCATTTCAAGCGAAACGCTGTGTGGAACAAGGATACTTACTGTCTCTCTCTCTCTCTTTCTTTATTTTAGTGGTCTACTGGACTGTTTGGAATTCGACAGTTGAGGAGAAGCACGGAATACAATGCCCAGCTTGAACGAATTGGATTTCACAAATGACATAGCTTTACCATCTCATTCACCACAACAAATCTAAGTGCAGATGGCCAATGTAGCATCAATCAATTATGCAGTAGGCCTCAAAACATACACAACCGACAAGGCAAGAACCTAAATCATAATGTAGTGAGCACTGACCAAATAACACGTGATGAGAGTGTTGGAATGTTTTATGTGCCTGGACAGTATATTTGTAAATAAAAGTACAAATTAAAAAACAACAACAACAACAAAAAAGGAATTTTCTCATTTAATTTATTTCATAAATTAATAATTTAATTATTTTCTTTTGACAAGCTAAACGAATAGATTGTATAATTTTTGATGATAATTCTATATAAGATGAAGAATTTTTTAATGATTCTAATTTTGAAAGAAAAGATTCCACACTAGTTTCTGTAATACGTTCAATTCCTTTTAAACTTATATCAGATGTATTATTGGATAAAGTGACCTAATTAATAAATAAATAAATAAATAATTATATAAGAAATAAACATCATCTATATCATTTTTTGTATATTATAATGAAAATAAAATCTAATTTTTTTTATAGTTAAATTGTTGTCAGGGTACCTATTTTATAGTTAGAAAGATTAAGATTTTTAACCATTAAGTTACAAGTTCAAACTATGTTTCATATCACTTCAATTTGAGCAGTCAGTCAGTCAGTAACAACGTAGAACTTCGTACGTACATACATCAGTTCGAGTTGCCATACCACATTAGCACAGAGATGCAGTTGTCGATTCAAATCCCGTAGTGGTAGAGGTAGTAAAAGTATAAGCAGTAATCGGGAAGATTAACGTTTGGAGATGTTATTTAAAGAGTATAATACAGTGAAATAAATTTGGGAAGAGAAAAAAAGGGATATGAAGAATTCAGAAGATTAGAATTTGGGAGAACACAAAGAGTGTATGCACCTGCGCCATTGCAAACAATTTTGAGCCATGTCATTCAGGGTCTCTAACCATCGGTTGCTATCATCTCGCGGTCCCCAACCAGCTAGTCTACACCTACCAACATGAATCACTCTGTGCACTTGTCAGTGACTTCATGGGCTTGTGCCATGTTTTGGTCTGGCCACCCCTAGCTTTCTTCCATCCTACTCCTACACCATAAAACATCGCACATCGAGGCAGTCGGTCGTTGGGCACACGTAACACATGTCCAAACCATCTCAACTGATGAAGTTTCACTACGTCATCAACTGATTTGCCATCCTTACCTAGTAACCGTTTCCTAACAACTGCATTACTTACTCGATGGTCCCAGGATATACGAGCAATATTTCTAAGACACCTATGATCGAATACTAGTAACCTACGAATATCCTCTACTCTTACCGGACATGTTTCACTGCCATAAAGTAGGACGGGACGAACTGCTGCGCAGTAAACACGTCCTTTGGTTGATAGACGGATATCTCGCCTACGCCATAAATGACGCAAGTTGGCAAAAGCTAGTCGAGCCTTCTGTATCCGTGCTGAGATTTCGTCACACACCAGACCACAAGGGCTGATGAGACTTCCAAGATAAGTGAAGCGGTCGACAAACTCAACTACTTCACTCCCTATCATTGTTTCGGGTGTCGATGCAACCCAATCCTGAAGCAACATTTTGCATTTCGAGGGAGAGAATCGCATTCAGAAAAAATGTTCTTAACAGAAGGAGCTACTGTTTATACTTAGAAATAGCAAGGTTATCAAATCAATAAGACGAAGTTAATGAGCGAATAACGTGCTTAGTTTATTCAGAGATATGCTTGAAGAAATATACACTGATCAGTTCAGGCAACGACTGACTTATCGTTCAATGGTCAGTCATCAACTTTTTTGTCCACCTAGTCCGATGAGTTGAATCCGATCTGCGAGATTTTCAATTTGGGGACTAATTTGGCTTTCATTCCATAATGAACAAGAAATATGAACCGTTTTGCTGTTGTTTATTTATTTGCTTGAGATTTGGGCCTGACTTCATTTTAGCGCTTAACCCCTCATGATGTTATACGAGTATCATGAGTGTTAGTTACTATCCGCGTTCGTAAAGACAGTCAATAATACTGGTGATCCAGTAGCTTTTTTCTAGCACAGATTTCACTAGACAAAGAATCTATTGATACTATAAGTAGACACGACAAATCGCGAAGAGAAATCCTGTAAACTTGCTATTGTCGAAGCACAATTTGGTGATTTATTACTTATAATATATCATAACTAAAACAAAATAACACGGTGATATGAATGTTCTCTTCATACTATTTAGAGGATATTTTGTTTTTTTGTTGTATTTATCATGGATATGTCACACAATCAGATAATAATATCCAAAATCAATTTTGATAAGTTTCTCAGATACTAGATTTACTAACAGTGAATGTGTAGTGTAAACAGAAGTAAGATATAACACCACTTAATTAACTATACATACATACATACTGAAATTCTACTTTATTGAGTACACAAAACTATACTTGTTTTATACATTAAACTATCACATTTCATGAGCTTCAGTAAAATTAACTTACATCGCTTAAAGCAACTGTTAACTCTTTACATAGCTGTTTCAATAAATTTTCTTCATTGGTTAGTAATTCCTTCGTTGTATTAATTTGATTTTTTGTCCGATTTTCAGCATTTACAAGATTTTCCACATGTTTACTTAGTAGAGCGGTTTCTTCTTCAAGTTGTGATACCTGGAAAAAGTATATGACAATAGTAGTGTAACTCATTTACTAAGAGTTTAATGTTCCATTGATTTATTCAAATCTCGTCACAATAAGGCACCAAAAAGGAATGCGTCACATAAACGAAGCGGTGATATTGTGAAGAAATAGAGGAAACTACGGAGGGTCCAAATATAGGAGTTGGAAGATTCTGATTCTAAACCAGTGGTCTATACGTGTTCCCTAATCCAAAAGGGAAGAAATGGCGTACCAACCTATTCTGGTCTTCGGCTACCATGGGGCTGAATTTTGTAGTAGTTCTTTGTGTCAAAAGCTCTGAAGCGATCCCATAAGGAAACTGCTTGGTTCAGTCTAGGCAATATTTCATACCATATACATGATTATGATGAAATTTCTCCTCCATTTGTCAAGTAGGGGTTTCGCATTTAGCCTTAAACTACAGTACTTGTGTGAAAGCTAGTAACCTCACCTTTCTGCACAAACTGATGAAGGTGGGGTGAGTTGGCACACTAATTAGTTGAATACTGAGTTATTTAACTAAGCCACTTACTCAGAAAAAGTATACATGACCATTAGTACTGTGGTGTACGAGAGAATTATATATAACTTTAATACAGAGCTTGACGAATATTCTTCCAGTGGTTCCTAAACTAAAGGACGATTAATGTATACTGTGATGTTGTGGACAGAATTGTATTGGGTTCACACTATTTGTATGTGTGTATTTTGGACTTTCGCAGGCGTTCTTGGCGAATTCTCAAATCAGCGATTATAGACGTTGAGAAACAATGAAAGAGGTGGTAACACCTACATAAACAGCCAATTAAGCCAGAAGAAATCAGGGGTGCGGTTAATTTACGCATATTAAGACTTTCACAATGCGTCACCCCTATTTTTGTCATTATAATTTCCTATTAGCTTGTACAATATAAACAATAGATTTTTTCATAGATATATTGCATCGTACATTGAATCCAGATGCTAATTACCAAATATTTAAACAATAAACAATACTAATCCCATAAAAATATACACAATAATCTTCTCAGAAGAACAGTCAGTGAAGAAATGGTCTTTCGGTTTGCAAATGTGTAAAGCACGTCCTTTGTAGTCAATCAAGTGCGATTTTTGCAATGACAGCGGTTAAGACCTTCAACTGCTGAGTCGTAGGTTCAAACTAACTTAGAGCCAGTTAGCATCACTATAAACATGTCGCTCAAAAACGAGTACCTAGGCTTGTAATCGGTAAGTAAATTTGCTCCCAGCACTAGTTAAAACGTTTTAAAGATTTTCGTCTTATTATTTTTTATATATTATGCACTTCTGATAAACTATTTCTATGTTAAAGACTGATTTAGTGATTGAAGCGGTCAACTACTAAGTCACCTATCTTAATATAGAATATATATTAACTTCTATCATAATAGATGTATCAAGACAATCCGCACAGAATTCACATATTCTAACCAAGACTGGTAAAATTCCAGTCAAAATATCAACGACGGGATAATTCAAAACATTTAAAAGTGGATTCATGTTTAAGATGTTTGTGCTTCTCCTAATTAGCTGTTACGAAAAGCAATGGTTATACATTGAAATGTAACTAACGTGTTTCTTCAATTGACGCAAGATAACTTCACGAAGTCTGTTGTATTCCAGAAATTCATGAGTAAATATTGAAATTTTGCAATCTGCTTCTATGTCATTGTTTTTAGTATGTGATATTTGTTTTACTGGTCGTTTACATCCAGCTTTGGGCCCGTTCGCATTGACCGTTTCATTGGAAGCTAACCATTTCTTGTAATTATCAGTAGTTTTGTATTCAGCAAACAATTTTTTGTATAACTCACGATCTTCGGCAGCTTGGTCAGTATATACTTGTTTCTCTTCAGCAGATAGAGCAGCCCATTCAGTAGCAATAATACGATTTCTATCTGAAAATGACTGCGAAGCAATATATTCTGATTCTTGTCTGCGCTTTTTCATGAACAACATAAATGCTGAAAGAGGTCGCCTTGGAGCATTTTTGTCGTACGGAGCTTTCTTCATAACAGTAGTCTAAAAATCGAATACACAGTAAAAGATTTTCAGTAGAACGAATAAATTTCGAGATATTTGAGACTTGAAAATTTCTTCTTTTGTCTGGGACTTACTAAATAATTGGTTGTCTGGGCCACGTGAGAAACTATAGGGGTTATTAATTCTAATTTATGGAGAGGAGCAGCATAATTACCAGAAGACATCACGATGCACTCTTTACTTATTTATACAAAAAATTGGTATGAAGGGGTACCAATATATATATATATATATATATGCGCGACACAATAAAAATGCGGTTATGAAGAAATAAAGAATGGAGGGTTAGTATAATAAAAAAAGAACAAAGATGGATAGAAATTAGTGTATGAGAGTGGAACAACAATAATCACCAAAATACTAATAATGGGAGAAGAAGTTCAGTTAAGAAAAATACAATCAGAAAGGATTCTTTCAGTTAAAGCTCCTCTCGCTCGTACAAAGAAGATTACAGCAAGATTGCCACTGGCTTCCATTTCAAACCATATCTAATAATGTCCCAAGCAGGTGTTGCGTCATCTCTATGAGACCAACCAGGGATTAATGAACGAACAATGGAAGCCACCAAAGTCCATGCTTCAAGATAGTGACACTAATTGAAATATCGCTGAGTTGTTGCATAGGTGACGTAAACCCATTCTTGCAAAGTCGCAAGAAAGATTACTAACCATCTCCGTGGAACCATGCAATCGAAGCCAATGTCCATCATTATCTCTTGGTGGGTGGATAACTAGCCTTTAACCTAGCTCGGTTTGATATTTAGTTTCAACGGATGCTGCAACCAATTTGCTGACATCGATCTGTTTACAGCGATGAATTTGTTGGCTACTAAAACGCGACATAAGATTAGTGCAGGCAAGGACATGATCAAAGTTCAGATAATTACTCCGAAAAGAGAGGCATTTTTGTACACAACCATGCCAGCGGTAGCTGATCGCAACGTTTATTTTGAGTTGAAGCTTGAGATGCAGAGAGAGAGAGAGTACCAGGAAAAACATCGGCAATAGCTGTACCGATAGTTAATGTTAGCCGGAAACGGGTTTTAGTTTGCGCAAAGTTGCAGTGGACAGTCCCCGTTATCTAACCTATGACCAAAAATTCCCATCAGCCACATAAACGACTCTCGTCTGAGCATTCAAGTCTCCGGCTAGTACTGCAATATCTATCGAACGCACTTTTTGTAGAACAGTTAACTGGTGGCAAAAGAGCTTGATCCCATTCGGACTGTAATCAATTAGAGCTTAGGTAGAGATGACAGCAGGATATCCTTCATCACACCGATTTCTTCTCAATTTGATGGAGCTTTCTAGTCTGAAATTACATAGTCGACTGTTAGTGGGGATCCAGTTGATTAGTGCTGCTTCAGTTCCATCGCTTAGTGTGACACTAACGTCAGCAAATCCAGACAGATGCACATTTGGTTTCAGAAAGACTGGTTCATAATTCGTATTTATTGGTAGCATTTAATTTTCGACCAGTCAGTGACTTGAGATCGCTTAGAGAGGACAGGGTTTCAACCATAGGTGAGCTACTGTATAAGTTGAAAAGTGATACACGGAAAATGAGGATAAAGGGGAATACATAATTGGCGTAGTATAAAAGAAATGGAAGCGAATTTTATAGAATGATTGGTCTGAATGAGCGTTGAAGTAAAAGTAATTTTCCCAGTAGTAATTATCACTGGTTTGCGTGGACTAGGATACTACCCGAGTGCCCCAACCGAAGCGGGTGGTTTCTAAAGGGGCCACGTCCCGACCCTTTGTCCTTAAGGTGTAACCCACAAAGCAGTGGAGCAACGTTAGGAGATACTGTCCTATGGTAGCCGGTGACCAACAATAGGTTCATACGCCATTCATTCCCTTATGATCCTGTAGCCCATGTGGAGCATTGGTTTGGAATCTGGGTTTTCCTGCTCCCTTAGATGGATCCTTCATATCCATCGACCCGGTTAAAGCTCCGGATATTTGCTCTTCGTCCCCTCGATTTCGTGAACGACAACCCCACCGCAGGAGTGACGTTTTTGGAAGTGTCTATATACATGCGGCCATATGAAAGCATTTTCAGAGAGAGTGAAAGAGAGCGAACTCTTTCTACGCTCGGCTGTTTCAGAACATGGTAACATCTAAACATAATTAGTAAGATGGACATGACAATTGTATGCATCAAGTTCATTAACCTTTTGACCTATGTTTTGGTTCGCAATTGGTGTCACCATCTTGAAACACCGACTTCGGTGGCTTGGGCATGTTCTACGAATGTCGTCCCAGAGAATTCCACGCCGTGCATTATTTGCCGACATGCCTGCTTCGGTTTGGACACCCGGGCAGTATCATATCGAATGGGATTTGTGTGGCGCATATGTATTTGGTGCCTCCTTGTACCAATGTCTATGTGTTAAAATAAATAAATAAATAAATAGTATATGATATGGTGTCGTGGTATGAAAGAAAGCTGCAAAGGGCTGGCCTGTGTCGGTCCTTTACGACTCCCTGGTTGGGGTCCGAGAGATGGTACAACACAGTGGCTAGAGACGTTATCAGATATGGCTCAGAATAGAAGCCAGTGGCGATCATGCTGTAACATTCTTTTACTTTCTTCATAAAACGTGGTTGTATCTTCCTTAACTGAAAGATTTCTTCTGATTGTACCCTTTTGTTCCCCTACTATTACTATTATTATTACACTACCTTACGCCAATCTCTTCGTTATTGTTTTTTTAAATATTTTTTTACGTCCCCCACTTTTTTCTTTTTTTTCTTAAATTCTCATTGTTTTGTGTGGCGCATATATATTTGGCGCACTCCTGTACCAATATATATGTGTTCAAATAAATAAATAAATAATGATTCGCTATGGTAGCCTTATTAAAAAAATGTAGAAAGTCTTTAATACACTGACACACAATGTCACATGTTACTTGTAGTCTGTTTATATTAGTGCATCGAACTATTAAGATGGTAACTGATTTGGAGATCAGGATAGTAACACATACATACATTCACAGTTTATACAAAACCCAGTTCTCAAAAATCCTGTGATTATATAATTTTCCTAGCTCGATTTGTAATTTCTACGTAACATAATCACATATATAAGCGAACAATATTGTTTTCGATTAAATCCGAATCAAGCTTTACTCTAATATACAGTAATGTATTTCTATGCATATAGAAAATTATTAAGCCAATCAGGGAAGTTTATGATTCAGTGGTGATAACAGTGGAACAGATTACATAAATAAGTGAAAAGTATAAATTGATAGTGTGATGAAAGGTGTACTAGTTGCGATAAGCAATAATGAAGGCTTGAATCAATGTTACATAATGGGAAATGGGTTAATAATTAGAAAAACTATAGACACTGAAATAACATTCATAAAAGTTTTAAAATTATGTAATAAGTGTTTACGGTCCAATTATCTGAACACTTTGTTATTATTATCACAACTGGTACACCTTTCATCACACTACCAATTTGTACTTTTCACTTATTATGTTTATTTATGTAGTATATTCCATTGTTATCATTGACTCATAAACTGCCTTGATTGGTTTAATAATTTCGTATATGCATATAAATACATTACTGTATATTAGAGTAAAGCCTGATGAGGATCTAATCGAAAACAATATTGTTCTAAATCACAATATAGGAATTTTTCAAATATAATAATAACCATATAAACGTCAGGCAGATTGTAATAATGCAACTCGTCTAGTTTGAGAGGTATCATATAAGCATTTGACGACTGTTGACTACCCATATAGTCAAATAACTGAAAGAGAATTTAAGTAAGTGTATAGGAATCTGAAAAACTTATTTCGTGGACGAGATTTGGAAGAGGATTAAAGACTTAACGAGTATCAGAATGGGTTTTGTGGAGAGTTTTAGAAATTTTCACAGGTTGAAATCATGAGTCAGTTGAAGCTAGACCACCATTGAAAACCTGGAAGCACTGGACGACCGTTTCGTCCTGGTATGGGACTCCTCAGCAGTGCGCATCCACGACCCCACACCACGCGGGGCTCGAACCCAGGACCTACTGTCTTCGCGCGCGAGCACTTAACCACTAGACCACTGAGCTGGCATCCAACGGTGTTAATGTCTAACTTCAACCAATCCACGAAGTTGCGCCACCGTACACCATGATCATACGTATAGGTTAAGCGTATGATAAAACCCCCCATCTAAGATATTTGATACTAGGTATTTTTGAATATACAAAAAGTACTAGAGGCAGTTGGCAAGAAAGTTCGGTAATTAAAAAGCAATGATCATATGAACATATACTAGGGACGGTGAGTTAAGAGGCATTATTTTGGTTTTTAGTTCTTAGTGCATATTTCGATGAATTAACGCCCGCTTATACGGATATGGGCAAGTGATAATAAACTGAGTGTTGACTTCAATCTAAGCTTGAGGAAGAACCTGGTTTATTCAGATGTTCATATCACAGCAAGTCTGAAGGCCATCCACCTTCTATACATTCTAGATGCGAACAACTAGAAAGCATAACAATAACTTTCTACTTGTTCTAAGTTTCCCATTAAATCATGCACAACGAGATGTTTAAGCACAAAAAGACAGAGTGTGATATATACGAGAAATGTGAAGAAATTCTATATAAGGTTAATATGAACCACAATGGTTGAGTGAAATTTGTGTTAACTGTGTACATTCACATAACACTAATATTCGTTTTTTCTTCATCCTCGTTTCCATCTCCGATTCTGGAATCCTATTCTTCCACCGTTTTGCTTCTAGCTTGGCTTCTTTGTAGATAACGACCTATAGAACATTAGGTTTTCTTTATACAATTAGATGTCCATTTGTCAATTGACTTCGCACAGTATATGCTATTACATATGATTTTCTTATATCCCAATTCGGAAGTTTTTATCGCTTATTCCGTTATTTAAGCATTAGTTTCAGGCAATGCAATTTTATCAATAGACATGTGTTATAATCTCCTTCTTACATTTATGACCCAGCTATTGCTATTACTTAGTATTCTTGGACACCAAATCACTCGACAAGACCCCAAATCAGAACACGGTCGAACAGAAAGGAGATCATATTCCAAATAACAAGGTTAGATGGAAGTAAGATGCAAGTAAGAAGCACAATAGAGAAAACGTTAGTATATTTATGGTTTTTACATGAGAAGATTCTAGAGTATTCTCCGATTATCGACTAGTGCTGATCGGACAAGAATTAGCCAATCAGCGTGCACCAAAGCAATCGTGCATTGAGCATGCTTTAATCCAGTCTATGCCCCGCTAACAACATGTGAAACAACCAATGTAATTACACTGGTAATTCGCAAGAACTAACTAAGCCCCTCCAAAGAAAACTGAAACGCGTCCGAAACCTTAAACTAACAAATTTTTATGTCGATTATTATGTCATCTCCATCTCACGTTCGTGTTATTCCTAATTGCTATGGATTTCTCCGGGTGGCAAGAGAAAGCTCTCCACAGACTTAAAGGTATGCTACACAAATGCTCTCAGCCTACTAAATCAAATGGCGGAGCTCAAGTCAGTGGTGGATAAAGAAAAATTGAACGTTATTGCTGTCTCGGAAACTTGGTTTGCGTCAGAAGTATTAGATAGTGAAATCCAGTTGACTGGTTTCATAACCAGCAGGGCTGATAGGTTAAACAGAAGGGGAGGCGGAGTTATTCTGTACACGAAAAGCACCCTAACCATAAGATTAGCTGAGACGGTAGCACATGTTTCAGGGACATGTGAACTGGTGAGATGTAAGTTGAAATGCCGACGGCAAGATATTGAAGTAGTTGTAGTATATCGCAGTCCAGAATGTGTAGCAGATGATTTTATCCTAAGTAAACTTAAGTCCTGGTGTAACAACGGTAAAAGCCTTGTAGTAGGTGACTTTAATGCACCATATATAAACTGGGTTAACTTAGAAGTATGATCATCGATATCGTCGTTCGACTGCAAACTGTTATAAACCTCTATTGGATTAACATTATTCCAACACATTAGAGATCCCACAAGGTACGACTTAAGAAACTCTTTTTCTCTTTTAGATTTAGTCTTCACACACGGTGATGACGTTGGTCAAATGGCTTTTCTCCCACCACTTGGGAGAAGTGACCATGCAGTCATTTTATTCAAATTCATGGCTGAAATTGCCTGTCAAACAGTTGCGCCGGCCCGTCCTAACATATGGAAGGCAGACATGCAGGCAATTAACACCGCAGCGTCGGCTGAGAACTGGGAAATTGACTTAAAGGCATCAGTACAAGAGGTATGGACTCTATTCAGACAGTTATACAATCGGATAACTCAACCATACATACCCTGGACTGTCCCAAAGAAAAAGAAGCACGGATATCCCTGGATAAGGCGGGATATTCGACGTTTACTAAGACAAAAGAAGAACAGCTGGGATGTTGCCATCCGCCTTGGTACAGCAGGTACGATGGAACGCTACAGACCAATAAGAAACGAGTGTATAACAAACATTCGGGAAGCTCAAAGAAAATGTGAAATGCAGCTGGCACAATCTGCACTCAAGTAGCCCAAGAGAATATTCTCCTACATAAACTACAGAACAAGGATGCCTCATTGGATTCCCAACCTAATTAAAGTAGGAAGTGAATTTGAAATGATAGAGGAAGATCAGGAAAAAGCAGAGGCTATGGCTGACTATTTTGGGGCAGTTTTCACTCAGGAACCTCCTCTAGAGAAAGAACCAGACCCGAATACAGAGTCAACAAACCAGCTGCTCACCGTGGACTTCGACCAAAACGATGTGCCTAAGGCTCTTAGCACCCTAAACATGGAGAAGTCAACAGGACCAGATGAACTAC